ATTGCACATTTTATATGGTACCATGAGGAAAGTTCTTAAGAAAAGGGAGAAGTGATTTAGCACAGGATATATAAAGATACATCCTTAAAGACCTGCTGTAAGAGCAGCGCAGGGCTGTCAGGCTGGAGGGCAGCTAGCAGGGGAGTGTTAAACATCACTCCTGCAGATCTGGCAAGCGCTCTTGTAAATGAGCCTGGTACTAATGTTACTGGAGAACTGGTGAAATTGCTGACGACAGAAAATATGAAGCAACCTCAGGACAAAAGAGGCTTGAGATATTACACAGGAAAAGGCAGTTAGCAGCAGAAAGTGATGGTCATAGGCACAAGTGACCAAACCCTTTCCTACAAACTAGCTGGCAGCTCACACTTTGATCAACAAGTAACTGACTTGCCAACACAGTGGAAAGAGGAAGCAAGAAATGCTGTCCTGGAAGGCAGCAGGAAAGGTGCAGCCCAGGCTGCAGCGAGGGCTGGGGTGAGCTTGAGGAGAGGGTATTTCACTTCATTTTGCAAAGCAAATGCCAAGAGCAGGAGGATTTCTCTGCATAGATACTTGTAGTAAGGGAAGAGAGAAGACCTGATGGTTCTAAGGGCCAGTGCTGGTACAGAATAAATGATCAAAAAGAGGCATCAGACATTTTCATTAGAAGATCGTTACTAACCATTTGACAATGTGGTTCTGGAATAGCCTCCCCACTGCAGTTGTGCATGCAAAATATTAAATTGCTTTGAGGATGGAACTTGGCAAGTTTATGAAAAGGATTATATCACACAGTGCCTTTGACAGAAGAGCTGATAGCACAGAAGTTCCTGCCAGTCCTAAGCACAAAGGTAAATGTTCTGTAACCCTCTGTCCATATAAATATAGAGCATGTGATTATATACACACAAAAAGCAGGCACATGATTTATTAATCACAGGACCTCAGCTTGTCAAATAATAATTACAAGGCAATAACACACCTTGTTTTAATAAATGGCTCCCTAAGACTTTCTCCCACAGTAAACCAGTAAAAAAGGACAATTATTCTGAGGTAAATGCGGTATTTCATGTTTCTGGTTGTTAGCTCTTAAATGAACTCACTGTCTGGAACCCTTAAATCAAGTACTCCCATTTTTCTGCACATTTCACAAGTTCAGCCCTTTCCAGTAAAGCGTCTTTTCAGATGCGTGATTGCCCTTTGTTAAGGCAAGAATGAACAGATGACAACGGCAGCACAGAGGAGACATGCCTGGAACAGTTTTACAGCACAGACCCAGTGCTAATGCTTCTGCCAGCAGGGCGTACTCAGAACTGTGAACAGGGGAGGCTTCTTGTGCAGTGTGAGGGGCAAATCCTGGAAAGCCATGATAGCGACAGGAAGGCAGCGGTTTGGGAAAGCGTTTATCCAAAGCCATGGCAGTGGGTGACACTGCAGTTTCCACGCTCAGGCAAACGCAGTGTGATCCCCCTCCACCTCCCAAGGGTGCCCAGCCTCGACAGGCGCTGCTCACACAGGTCTGCAGCGCAGCCCGGCTCCCAGCTCACTGACGGAGCTGCACGACAATGTTCAAAAGCAACTCTAATTACTGAGCTTCAAAAAAAGTGAAGGCGTGTTTTAGTACCCTTTCAACCTGGAGCTGACGCTGCCTGATCAGGAATGGGATTGCTGTGCTTGCAGTTCATTTTATGAAGGCACTTTTGTAGAAGATGCAAAAATAAAAGTCGTTTGAAGGAAAAGAAAGCAGAAGGCCAAGAGACAGGCAACTGAACAGAGCAGACTGATTTAACAGATATGATACATTTTTGCTGTCTGCATTATGTGTGGAAATTTATATTCCAAGTTACACAGTAACAGACTCAACTGTAATCAAACAGCACTGCTGAGGTGTCAGGAGCACAGATGCTGCCTATCGAAAATACTTAAAACAGAAAGTAAAACTTTGAAAAATCCGCAGTGGGGAGCACAAGGAAAATACTAAATGTTTCTAACCCAAGGCAGCTTCTGTCTGTTTTTCACTGCTCTGATACGGGAGGTCGGAAGACCTACGTGAGTCACCCCAGCGACAGCTCCGATAAACCTTGATGAAAAGCAAAGGCCGGCAGCAGACTGCCCAGAGCAGCCTGGAGACACGCCGTGTCTATTGTGCACTACACATCGGACGGGGGGAAGGGCTGCTCCACGCGTTTTGGGGAACTTCAGCCAATGGATTCCTCCCCTGGGTGTTACGGGAGGGCTTGGCCAGCATGTGAGAAAGGGAGGGGAGAGTTTGAAAACAACCCAGCAGGCTCTAAGGAAGGAAGGCTGCTAGAAAGTGACCTGCTCGCCTCCGTGCAAGCATTTTGCTCCAGGTGATCGGCGGAGCTCGGGGTGGAAGCGCAGGAGGGGCCTGGCAGCTCCTCGCGGGTCCCGCTTGGCGCGGGTCGGCACAGGTAACCCGGGATGCAGGTGCGGGGCAGCGGGCGCTGGGCTGAGCAGCCCACACAGGTTGCCTCGAGCCGCAAATCCACCAGAAATGGTCGAGAGAGGGTTTTTTTCCTACGGGAGGAGGAATTCTGGTCTTTTGTTTTAATGGGGATTTTGGCAGTATTTTTGCTATTAGTATGGTGGGGGAGGGAGGGCAACAGGGAGCAAGCAGGTCTCCACAGATCAGAGCTTGGCATGTGATCAGCTGTCTTTTAATTATTGCAGGCAGTTTTGAGGTTAGAAAGGCAAAAAGAGGAGATATCTTTTAGTACACTAGTTGATACAATGGAAAAATACAAATGATCTTTCATGCACATCAGCTCTTTTACAGGTCACAGTGCTTTAGAAATCAGAAAATATGCACAGTCGAATCTAGAGGAGATTTTCAGTGATTGATAACTCAGCTGCTAATAGACACAATAAGCAGAAGAAAGAAAAAACACACCATTTTCTTGTCTGGAGGTGTGCTGGATGGTTTAGGGTTTTTCATCTTCTTTTGACTACTGACCCAGCTTTTAGGCCTCTTGGAAGTGATCCAGTCCTAAATGTCACCAGAAAATCTTCTAGCAATTTTTTACAGTGCTTTAAAATGTGTAATTGGCATGATGTGGTATTTTGTGGCATCTTCCCTTGTGCAGGTCCTGGTTACTGTTTCAGATTCTCTGCCACCTCTTTACTGAAAAATCTCTTTAAAGCCCCTTTCTGCCTTGCAGGGGAAGCTGAATTCCATGATCTATGTTAATAGCTGGAATTTATTTTCCAAATCTCGGTTGTGACATTGTAGTGGTTTGCTTGGTAGGCGCTAGTCAGTGGAGGTGCAAAGAGCAAACTAGGAATTGGTTTTTGATTGATGGGGAAACAACGTCTGCCTCTAGGTTGTGCATGAAAAAAAGTCTTGTGTGAGCACGTTGGACTGTTCTGACTTTAAAAAGTCTGGAATCTGGTGTCTTCATGAGCAAGAAAGGTTTTTTTTCTGTCATTTGTCTGATGGGGAAAGTATCATAAAAATATGCAATCGTGCTGCACATTCTTTTAACAGATAATTGTTGTTTTAATTCTTAAACCCAGTTTTGATGATTCATGCAGAGCTGGGCCAGTAAATGAATTCAGAAGCTCTTACACAAGGGAACTTTGGCTCTTATTTCAGTCAGAAGTACACAGATTTGGAGTAGAATTATACTGGAAAAATATGTAAAAATACTATGAAAATCAAATCATAATCTGTTAACTGAGGAAGTTTCTCTCACTGGCAGCTGAAAAATCCTGTAACACACAAGTACCAGAGCAGAAGTGATCTGTGTTTGCTTCCCTCATTGAGCTGGTCTGCTATTGCTTGGGCTCTCGGGAGTGACAAATTAGGGAGAGAAAACAAAGGGTTAGCTGAGTTTTTAGGAGAGACTGAATGGAAGCAAAACACGACAATGACTGTCATCTCTAATTAAGTGTCTGGCCTCAGGCGGTTCTCAAGGAATAAATAGGGTAAATGTAAACTAAAATAAGGTAGAAAGTTTGGAAGGCTGTTGGATGGACACGCACGGTTTGGCTGTCCATCTTACACCTGCACTGTGTTCAGAGTTCCAGCAGTGGAGAAGGCGGATGCAGCACCTTTTCCCGTCGATTGCCTGAGCAGTTGGAATCCTGCCTGCCAAATCTGTGGTTTCCCAGTCCCCCACCCAAAACCCTGTCCCAGTGCTGAAGAAATGGTAGAGGGGTCATGTGTGGAGGAGCAGCAAAAGGTCTGAAATCCCCTTGTTAGGCGAGAGAAACACGCACAAAAAAGAGATAATACGTTATTTTTCTGATGGCTTTAGTTCAGAAAAGGAAAAAAAAATTTATTTCTAATGAAAGGGGGCAGACAGCACGCTGAGGGGGATCCAGGTACAGCTGTCCAGGCTTGCCCCGGTGCAAACACCCGGCGTCCCCAGGCGGGATGCGAGGAGCTGTCCTTCCTCGTCCAGGGGTCGGTCCCTTCACACGTGACCCAAACCCTGTCACAGGTGTTGCCCAGCGGTGCCAATGATCCCCCTAAGCGGAAGGATTAGAGCTGTGACTGCCCGGTTCGGACCGTGGACGCTCCGGGCCGTGTCACACGGAGCAAATGGAGGCCATGGGCAGGTGCGTGTGCGGCGCCCCCTCCTCCCCATCCCGCACCAATGGCTCCTTCCCGCTCCCCCCGCCGGCCCGCCCAAGATGGTCTCGGCCTTCCCACAGCTCCGAACCCGCTCCAGACCCCGCCCGCCTCCATCCGCGCCTGCCGATTGGCTGCGGCGGCGGGCAGGAACCAGCCAATCGCGGCGCCGACGGCGGCCCGGTCGCTGGGGTAGAAAACACAAACAAGCAGGGGGCGGGCGCGCGCGCGGGGGCGGGGCCGGGCGGCGGCGGGGGCGCGCACGGGCGGCGGGGGCGGGAGCGCGCGGCGGCGGCTGAGGGGACGCGGCCCGGCCCCGGCGGCCCTCAGGGAGCGGCGGTGCCCAGGACGTATCCCGGGAGCTGCGAGCGCATCCCGGGGGCTGCGGGCTCTCCCGGGCCGCAGCCAAGCCGCCTCAGCTACTGCCAGGCCTGTGCTTGTGCGCCAGCCAGGCCCTCGGCCCCGCTCCCAGCGGCCTGAGCCCTCACTCCGTCCCGCTCCTCAGGGCTGGGGGTGCGTCGCCGCTGGTCCCTGCCCGTGGCACGGGTTTGGTGCGGGTACTGAATCTCACCTGGTTTGTGTGTGTGTGTGTGTGTGTGTGTGTGTGTGTGTGTGGCTGCAGAACAGCAGCTGGTGCTGGCGGATCTCCAAAGCTTCGGTGATTGGGGGGGAGGTTGGCCTAAAGTTGGGGAGAAGGGGAAAAAAGTGTATGCTGTGTGGGAGGTTCCTCAGGGATATTTTGCACATAAGGGAGGTCTTGATGAGTTTTGGAGGCCTTGTCCTGCAGCATGTATTGTTCCTAAAGGTTAATGTGCCACTGTTTGTCGGCTGGGGTAGAGTTGCCTGTTTGGTTAAAGGAGTGGTGGTGGGTACAGAGCACGAAGCATATTTTATTGGTGGATTTCAGTGACTTAGGAAATACCCTTGTCTGATGAACTACTTTAAAAGCACTGTTCATATCAGTGATTCATCTTAAGATCTCTTGCGGCATTCATGTTTTGCAGATGCATAAAGTGACTTCTGTCCATTTTGTTCATGTATTATCTCCTGTAACAAAATCTGGAGGTTATTTATTCTGATGTTTTTAAGGCAGTTTTTCAACGTTGATGGGTAGTGCTGTATGCAAACTAGAAAGTGATGGGGTTTGGATACAGTGATGAGTACCAGAATCCTGAAGCTCCAGCAGATCTGGTGGCTTGAGTTACTGAAGGGTTGAGAAGGTACATTGCTAAACTGAGGGTGTATCTCCTGATCAGTGTGACAGCAGGAATTGTAGGGCTCAGGTATTCTGTCATCCTTGTTATGAATAAAGTAAGGTGCTGGATCTGAGAAAGACAGCACATGGAAGTTGTGTTGTTATTTATTATCTTGTCAGAGGTGGAGGATTTCAACCAGGGTCGTCTATAGGAAAAGCATTTCTCCACTTGCAATTTAGGACTTGATTATAAACAATGAAAGTTGTGATTATTCTTTAATACAGGTTTTGTCCTTTGTTGTCTTTTTCAGAGGTGGACAACTGATGGAACATTCCACTGGGAAGAATAAAACTGTTCTTAGAAGATAGTTTGCACAGATTACACTGAGACCCGCACGGAGAAATCTCTCAACCAAGAGTGACTGGGAACACTTGGACTCCTGAATGACTGCTTGAGGTAACTCATGGAAAACGTTTATCTAAAGAAGTGGTGTGGGGCAGGGAGGACTTATTACACAAGGCTGGTAACTTCTTGGATTGGCACTAGGAAACCCAAGATAACGACAGCTGAATGCTGTGCCCTAAACCAGAGTTGCTTTATTGCCAACGGTCCTTGATGAGTCATGGGTCTGTGGTAGGCAAGTGGGCAGGGGAGGGAAAAACAAGGGAAGAGAAGAAAAGGGGAAGGGAGAGCAGTTGTTTGGTGTCAAGATCTTGCCAGTCAATGGTGAGCAGTTCTTGGGGCAGCAAAGGATGAGAGAGGGGGGAAAAAAGAGCCACTGAATTTTTATGGGGCAGACACAAATACTAATGATATTCCCAGGCCTACGAAGCGATTTTTAAAACTCTTGCAGGTGGAAAAGTGTATGGGGGAAATCTGAGACTGCTTAATTTCTTAATAAAGGAAATTTCCTTACATAAAGGAAAGATGCATGATGCCATCCCTTTCACAGGGGCTGGGGTGGTTTGTAGGACAGCAGCTACCGGGAAGAGGGAGAAAGAGTAACAGAAGAAGTGTTTAAGTGTAGAGAACTTTATCCCTTGCAGATTTAATGGTTGTTGTAAAGAGTGTTTGAAGGGTGCAGAAGCACAGATGCGAAAGCTTGACAGCTGTATATACCTGTACAATAGAACATAAAGACTCTGTCCTTGAGGGGAGGAACAAAAATTAACTTGTTTTCTAAGGGCTGGTCTGAACTCGATAACTTGGTACCATTTTATCAGTGTAACTCACGTGAAGAACGTTCCTCTCAGTGGATGCAATTATAACATTGATATTGTGTGCTCATACAGATAACGACTTCGGAGAACAGGACAGTCTAGGTTGATAGCGGGGGCTTTTATCAGCTAAAAAAAGGTGCATACACAGGGCTTTTACCCTTAAAATAACGGCTTTTGTCGCCTTTATAAGCAACAGAACTGACAGCTGCTAAGACATCCAGGCTTAGAGGTGTTTGAGAGTGGTGCTTCTCTCATGCTACACCATTTACCTTCCCAGGAACTTTTCAGTGGTTACTGATAGTTAATTATAACTTAAAACCCACCGCTTTTTGCATTGCATTTTGTGAGTGAAGCCTTTGCAGCTTTTTACTTTTAAGATTTGATCTAGTGTTTTTCTTTCCCTAAGCTTCTCTGTTTCTGTTTAGGCCTTGGAAGGAAAGCATTAAGACTTTACATTTCACAGTCAGTTCTGTTCAGCAACTATGGAAATAGAAAAGGAGCACATTTATATCACCCCAACAGGTAAGTAATGTATTCAGTACTTTTTCACTTAAAATTGCTTAGCTGACTAGAAGTCAGCTAAAAGAAGTCAGTCAGTCAGAAGAAAAAATGTATTACCTGATAATTTTCTAACAGTACTGGTTAAAAAAACCAAACAACTCATCAAAAATTTACAGAATAGTTATTTCAATTTTATATCATAGTATCCTGCTTTATTACATTTATTTCGAAATTTATTAAAATAACAAAGTTAACATTTCTTTAAGTTCCTGAATAGTATTGGAACTTGTCTTCTTATCTTCTGAGTTCAAGTAATGCTGGTGTGAAGAAAAGAATAAGCTCAAAAGTAAAATGTGTAGGTGTGTTTGAGAAGTACAAATTCTGCTTTTAAGTAACTATTTACCTCAAAATTAGAGGAAATAAAAAGATGAAGGACTTGGCTGGAAGTAGGCTGGCATGGGAAAAATTTAGGAAATATGTGTTAGGGACTGCTCTGAAATTCACTGTTTTGTCCATATCACGAATGTCTCTTATGATGCTTAGTCAAGGTAACACAGCTTCATGTTGTTTTCTGTGTCTCCAAAGTTTACGATGGTCTGGACTGACTCCTTTATTCAGAGGTTTTGTAGGTTTAAATGTTTTTGAGAAAAAAATGTTATACGTTAAGATGGTATGTAATGCAGTTGAGGTAGCAACATGCTCCATATGATTTCTTATATTAAAGCAGGGTTAGGCTGATGTAGAAGATACATTACTTCTCAGCAATTTAGAATGTATTTGGATAATAAAGGGGAATCTGCTAGAGAGCTGTGTCGACCAAGTTTGGACAATTAAATTGGCATGTAGGTCAGTATTTGTAGAAGGCTTTGTTAATTAAGGTAGCACCATAAAAGCACAGATTTTAAGTGAGCCTGCTTGGCTTAATGGCAGGGTAATAAGGTAAATTTGGATAACTTCTTAGTATGTAGCAAGCAAAGTATTAAAGTTTATAGAAGACTGTTATTGCTTATATATGTGTATGTTTTATGATGCAAAAATGAGAAACTGGAAAATCTGCATCATTTTATATGTACTTTTAATTAAATTATTTTATTTTAGAAAATTGTTGGAAAATAATATATGTGTCCAGCCTGTTTTTTCAGGTAACTGATAGTGGAGGGCCAGTTGGTTACAGTATTATGGAGAAGGAGGTTGCAGCTGGAAGTGACAGTGTTATATAAAAAATATTAGTTTAGTAATGCAGTGAGAAATATTAAGTATTATGGGTTGGATGTTTCCTGTGGAGGATTTCCGTTAGTCTTGAACCTGAGATCAAGATTGTGTAAGGAGGTTGGACTGTAGCTTCCCCTTTTATCCCTAGTTGCCAGATCCAGACTTGTGTTAGTTGTTGGCCATTTTCTTTGGAAACTGAGAAAGAAGTGGTCATTGAAAAGTGTAGTTTCTGGACAGCCAGGTTGCAGGTCTAAACTGAAAAAGGTCATGGGAGACTGGGCATGAAGAATTTGAGTGCATATTTGTCTGAGATGAGCTGGTTGTGCTGATGGGGTCTCCTGGGGAATGAGAGGAAGGAAACCTATTCTGTTTGGGTTTGCTTTTTTCCCCCTCTGCTAGCTTTATGCAAATCTCTCATTGTTTTATTAAAATGTTAGACAAACTGAGAAAGCTGCTTGTGAGGAATCTTTTCCTGGATGTGATGCATGCTCTTCTCTTTTAGCTTGCTGCAAGCGTAAAAGGAATGCTTTTGTGGGAGTAATGAGTGGAAAGATGAAGCTTAGACTGGAATGGCTGCATTTGCTCAGCTGTAGCATTCGCATCTGCGAACACTAGTATCTAAATGTTATTTCTTTGATCACAAAGGAGGCAGTTCCATCGAACTTTACTCAGTTTGTAATGTAGTATCCTCTTTGATATGGGTAAATACTTTGAGGTTGGAAATATTTTATTAGCGCACTTTGCTTTCAAAACTGTTTTTCATGGACCTGTTTTGAAGTGATAAAACACAGTTCTGAGAAGTATTGCTAAATGAATGTTTCTAATGAGGATGTATTGGTATGGTGAAGTGACACATTAGCTAAGTTCAAATACAAATTTAAAATACTTTTCATATTCTGGGTTCATGGCAGTAAACTTTTCTGTAAAGCAGGTTTGGCACAGTTGGAAAACCAGCTGCCTCTGTGGGCCTTATTATTGCTCTTCTAGGACTGGAGCTATAGGTTGTGTCTTTGAGATTCCACTTAGTCTGCAAGAAAAGGAGGCTGTTCCCTTTGTGTGTGTGTATCTTTCAGTTTGCAAGGACTCCTAAGGTACTTACTGGAATGTAAATAGGTCCCCAGGTGCCTTTTTTTTTTTTTTTAATGTTGATGAGTTAAGAAAGGGAAGAAGAGCTTAGGAAGGGTTTTGGCTCTAATGCTCTCAGTACAACATTCTGCTGAACCATACAGCACGGGACACACACACACAACTTAGCTGTGAAATAGGACTTGAGGTCTAAATTTTAAATGTGCACTAGCTTCCTTAAAGTGTGAAGTTATTGCACTTCTTGGTGCTCTGAGACATTTAGAGATCGTTAAGTTGTGAGAGAGTTTTCTGTTGGGTGTGAAACAAACCTATTATATCTGATTGTGCTGGAGAATAATCCATGTCTGTTTTAGAAACAGTCTTGAGGAGCAATCCATAGAGAAGAGAGATCCCACTGTTTCAAAAGACTTTATGTATTCTATGAATCTTCATTACTGAACTCTCCAAGCTTTGTATTAAACAGCATTTTCCCTCCCCACCTTTAAAAACAAGATCTAAAAGTAGTGATGTTTTTATATTCTTCTAAGTCTAAACCATTGCTTTTCTTGCTAGTGAGCTGTGTTTGAAATTCCTTGAATTGAAAAAGGGGAATGTTGGTTGATGATTTAGGGAATTAATTTCACTTGGGTGACTACTCTTTTAACATTAGTGAGTTTGTAGAGAATTTACTGTATTGGCAGTTTCATTTGTTTCTAAATGAAGAGATGAGTGGGTGGAGTGAGAACTAGGCACTTAGATCTTAAGCGCTGAAGAGTTCTGATAGTTTTTGTTTAACAAGGGTGGGGTTTTCTGTGGTTTATGTTTTTTTAAATGGTTTATTCATTTGCTTTCCAACTCTTGACATATGCTCTGTTTAGGCTGTAAATATTTTGTGCAAGGGAATAAGGAACTCCTTATTACTGTGATATGTAGTCTTATTTTAAAACCAACATAATTTGCCTTAATGCTGCTGGAAATAGATGTTCTGTATAATGTTATAATCCTTTTTAAATGCAATGTGTTTTGGTATTCTGACATAAAAGTGTTTAACAGATTTTTTTTTTTCTGTCTCCTTTTTAAGAACTTGAGAATCTAAATGATGCTCCATTTTCTGGTGATGAAGAAAATGGTGGATCTGAGGAACGAAAAACTGAAATCAATGGAAATTGGATTCCTGCAACTTCAATTACTGAAGCCAAAATAAATGCTAAAGCGAAGAGACGGTTGAGGAAAAACTCTTCTAGAGATTCTGGGAGAGGAGACTCTGTTAGTGAGAATGGAGAGACACTGAAGATTGGAGTTGTACCAACGAGCCCAAAGGGGAAACTCCTGGACAGGCGATCCCGGTCTGGAAAGGGCAGAGGTCTGCCAAAGAAAGGTTGGTGTAACTTAGTGAAGAGAGTAGCATGAAATTCTTATATGTAGCAGAAAATCTTATATGTCTGTGATCAATTAACTTCTGCCTTTGAAGTAAGTACCTTTTTGTAGAAGACTTAATACACGAATTTGAACTGTTGGTGTTTCACAGAACTGTTACTAATGCAAATTTAAAACATGGTTATATTTGAAAGTACAGTTTCAACCTTCAGTAATTCCTGTGCAGTTTCGTACTGCTCCTGGAGTCTTACTGGAAAGTGATGAAAAGACTGTTGCTGAAGTGACAATACATCAGAGAAACATACCCTTTTCAGCATATATTGTTAGTCAAGAGCTGGGTACAAGCAGTGATAGATCACTTTTAAGTGAAAGGATCTTGTGTTGAATTCAGAAGTGTTCTTCGTAAACTGGTGGTCCTTACTTTCCCATATTTTGCCAGGTGGAGCAGGTGGTAAAGGAGTCTGGGGGACACCAGGTCAAGTGTATGATGTGGAAGAAGTAGATATTAAAGATCCTAATTATGATGATGACCAGGTAGGCAAACAGTTTCTTTGCAAAGTTGTGTTTTATTTCCTTTACTGATTTCATTTGCTGTGATGGTTATATTAATGGAAGCTTGACCTTATGAGTTATGTGAATGTCAGCCTGGCTGCACTAAATGCTCAGTTTTATGTTAAAAAATGGATTATTGGCTAGTTAAAGTCAGCTGGTGTAGAAGTGTCACAGTGTAATACTCACAGATCTTACCCCCTGAGCTGTCTTTATGTGCCTGACTAAGCAGCACTCCTTTCCCGGGTGTGTTCTCCACTGCTGGTTCCCATGGAGGTGGATGTTGCAGTGCTGCTCTGTGTTGCACACAGGCACTGTGTTAAAAATGCAACACAGACTTGCTCAAGTTGGGAGTTAAGTGGGGGACAGTATCCTTTATGGATTTTTTCTTGTCTCTGTATTCCCAACCCTCCCAGTGTCTTGTATCTATTTGGTATAAACTCTTCAAACACTAACAAAAAACAAATGCTGACATGTATTTATTTGGAATATGTTATGGAAGGTTGTATCTTACAGCCATATTCTTGGGGCAAGGGGAAGAAAGTAAAGCTCATTGGGCAGAGGAGGCTTTCTAACATTAAAAGGGAAACACTCATTACAAACACACTGTTAAAGTCCCTGAGATCAATATAATTGTAAGTTCTGTGTGACATAAGCAGAACAATGGTGGCGTCCTTTGAGTAGAGGCTATTTGCTGTAGCCATAGCTGCTGAAAGAGTGGTATGTGGGAATATCAAAACCTTCTTCCAGGATCAATTTTCCCTATAATTCAATATTTTACATTAATAGAGATAGTCATTAACATTGAAGCACACAGAAGAAAGTTTAATGAAGAATGAATATTCCAGGTAACTTCTGTTAACAGAGGCTGGTGTGATGGAATTATAGGTTTTTTGACTTCTGCTGTTATTTCTTGATCATGGAAAGTTTCTTTCCATTAAACGTTAGTTGGAAAACTAAGTCTTTGTTCAGATTTCTTTGTTCAGATCTGTAGTGTTGCTTCAAATGTTGCTTCTGTAGTCTGTGCAGAGTAGGGAACTGAATGATAGCAGGGAGATCTGGTGTGCTGGAACTCTGCAGGACAGGTGATAAAAGAGGTAGTTGCTGTGTGACTCTTTTTTTCCCTTGGAGAACGTCATTGCTCACAAATATTCTGACAATGCCTTTTCTCTGATTCGTACATGGTATCACCTGTATGGTCACACAGTCACAAAGGAAGAGGGAACAAGGCAGGGACTTGCTGTCAGGGACCCAAGCGCCACTTGCAGGGGAAGCTGCTGTGGCACAGCTAACTGTGCTGGCCTGGGACAGGAGCTTCTGTTGCTCTCCCTTCAGTACATAGGCTCCTGAACTGTCTGCTCGTGTGATGTCAGCAGAATCCTAGGAACAGAATTTAAAGTGTTTACCATTGTTTACCAGTAAATTCAGCCTTTCAGTTGAATTCAGGTAACAGTAAATTCAAAATACAAAGAAGCATAACATCTAGCCAGTATTGTCTACACTTTAACAGCAGAGATATAATCTGTTATTTTCTGGCAGAATACTGACTACCAAGAATAAAGCATTAAGGATTTAGAAGATCTATTTCGAAAGTATTAGCACTGCATAAGATATAAGAAGAGACAGTACTCAGGGGATATGCTTTTGTTATCTTTTAAAACAGGAGAACTGTGTCTATGAAACAGTAGTTTTACCTCTGGATGAAAGAGCATTTGAAAAAACTTTAACACCGATCATACAGGAGTATTTTGAACATGGAGATACTAACGAAGTTTCGGTATGTTACATGCCTTTTTATTTCTTTGTTTTAGGTGGCAAACCTGTAGCATACAGGGTAATCCAGTTGCTAGCTGTAAATGAGTTTATAGAGAAATTGGCAAGAAATGTGTTATAAGAGTACCCAAGCAGTTACATTTATTACCTGAGCAGAAGCAT